GAGTTTATATAAGAACTTTTCAGACGTTACTGTTGCTGCTTTACAAACAATATTTAGTTGTATTTAATATATACAGAAATTAGTCCAAAATAAATATTGAGGTATGAAACAGGGATAATCACACACAGATATATGTTTTGAGGCTATGCTCTACATATAATCAATAATATAAAGGTGTAAATTCTATTCTATCTATTTCAACTTTCTAAAGATACAAATATGTATTATTCTTGTTTTATTTGCCACGATTCCTTGCTGGACGGACAGCTTTCTGATGCCCAAAGCACAGCGTTTCCTGTTTTGACCCGTTGGATCTTCTGGCCGAGTCTAAAGGTGCTATCAGTGAAACAAAGACCTGATTGAATGATCTGTTCAGTTCAGTAACCAGCCCTGATCCATGACATCAATACTGTGGGCCAGGCTTCAGTAATGAATTAATACACAAATTTTGCCGCCACCAGATGTTGCACTAGAGCACCAGCATCTGGAAAACGTTTTTTCAGTTCAAAATTGATCCAAATTGGTCATTTTACACAATATATATTTGGGTTCATTGTACAGTTCATCAGTTGTTCTCTACTGTCCATGTTATTGTTGAATATAATATGAATTAAAGCTGCAAGCAGTGATGATCGGGCCCTCGCAGTCCATGTTGTTTTAAACTTCTGATTTAACTGTATTGTTGGATTTTCTGGTGGAATTGCCTCCCAAAAAGCTAAAGATGAAGAACGTCAGGTTCTTTTTCAGGAAAAGTGTGAGAAACAGCTCAGTTAATGACAATTACTCTGTAATATTGTTTAATGTTAACATACATGGTGCATTGGTGACATTATGTGATTATCGGACATAACATACAATAAACATAAAACAGTTACAAAATGGTCTGAATGTTGAAATTTGTAGTGTTACCATTACAGTGATCATTGTATCATGTAAAAAAAAAAGAAATCACACACATGTCATGTTACTATGTCCGCACACATATCATAAACTTATATTACCTGGAATGTCGCTGAACAAGAAACACTGCAATAGTTTTAAGTGAAGAATGTTTCCCTGCAACTTTTGACAATTTGTCAGTGAAACTGCATCCAAGTGTTTTCATTTAAAGAATGTTTTTTGTTTTTCAGGTAAAATAGATTTATGATATCCAATCAATCATATGGGTGCAGGCAGCAGAGGCAGAGGGATGCCTACAGGGACGTGCTGTGGGGATACAGATGACCAGGTGAGCTACAGTTCAGTATCGGTCTATAGTTACAATTAAAATCAAGATTTAAATTCTTTGTACAACCCCATGATTCAGTGTAAATGCACAGACTTTTATTTTGAAATAAATCAACAAAAGTTATATTGTACCCCTATTTAACAATGTACGGCAACACACACACACACACACACACACACATATTTCCACCTGCTTAGTCTGCAGCCACAGGGCGCCTATTACTGTCATAATGAATCAAGCTGTCTGCATGCTGTCATGTTCATGTTGTTGTCAACTTTGAGATATTCCTGAGTTTATATAAGAACTTTTCAGATGTTACTGTTGCTGCTTTACAAACAATATTTAGTTGTATTTAATATATACAGAAATTAGTCCAAAATAAATATAAAGGTATGTATTAAGGTATGAAACAGGGATAATCACACAGATACATGTTTTGAGGCTATGCTCTACATATAATCAATAATATAAAGGTGTAAAATATTGATTACTCTTTATTGACTCTTAAGTCTAAGAGTCTATTCAATGTATTAAAACTTTTTAAAGATTCAAATATGTATTCTTATAAATATTCTATCTATTTCAACTTTCTAAAGATACAAATATGTATTATTCTTGTTTTTATTGCCACGATTCCTTGCTGGACGGACAGCTTTCTGATGCCCAAAGCACAGCGTTTTCTGTTTTGACCCGTTGGATCTTCTGGCCGAGTCTAAAGGTGACTACAGTGAAACAAAGACCTGATTGGATGATCTGTTCAGTTCAGTAACCAGCCCTGATCCATGACATCAATACTGTGGGCCAGGCTTCATTAATGAATTAATACACAAATGTTGCCGCCACTAGATGTTGCACTAGAGCACTGAGAAATGCCTCCCAAAAAGCTAAAGATGAAGAACGTCAGGTTCTTTTTCAGGAAAAGTGTGAGAAACAGTTCAGTTAATGACAATTACTCTGTAATATTGTTTAATGTTAACATACATGGTGCATTGGTGACATTATGTGATTATCGGACATAACATACAATAAACATAAAACAGTTACAAAATGGTCTGAATGTTGAAATTTGTAGTGTTACCATTACAGTGATCATTGTATCATGTAAAAAAGAAATCACACACGTCATGTAACTATGTCCTGACACATATCAACTCTTACTACCTGGAATGTCGCTGAACAAGAAACACTTTGAAATGGTTGTAAGTGAAGAATTTTTCCATGCAACTTTTGACAATTTGTCAGTGAAACTCCATCCAACCAGCTCTGTAATCAATGCTTAAACCTTCATAATCTTTGACATCTGTAGCCTCGATGTTTACTTAACGAAGTTCCACAGCCTGTCCAACTGGTTCCTTTGTTTGTGAATTGAGTTCAATGTGTCGTTACTGGGCCTGCCGGTAATCACGTTTGTGAGCAAGTTCTGTTCTGTTTTGTCAAGACAAACTCCTGGAAAATTATTTCTTAAAAAAAGTGGGAACTCTGGTAAAGCCTAGAAACCAGGCGAGTCGCCATTGTTTCCTGCTACGGAAGAATCTAAACTGCGCAGCCAATGAGAGCAGCTCAACACGCAGTATGTCACCTCTACTGGCTCCAACAGCAAAAAACAAAACAGAATGGGGACCGACTTCTAAAACCAGGCTCGGACCTGATTTTCTGGGCCAGATTAAAGCTCTAGTATTGCTAGTGGTGCTAAACAAAATTTTTGTCATTTGCAGACTGCTGCGTGCAGCCAAGTGAGAGTGGGGGAGGAGCCTGATGGTGATCCTACGGTCAGTAGACTAATACAATGCATGCACAGAAAGTTTTAATTTTTATTACATGGATAGGGGCATTTAACCATTTTTCTCTAATTTCCTGCAGGATGGTCATTCACATAGTTTCACAGTGAAACGTCGCTGTGGTGGTTTGACGGAGCCAGCAGAGGTGACGTACTGTGAGTTGAGCTGCTCAGTTTAATGAGTTAATTAATATGGAATCTCCATAAAATGTCACTTAGTCAGAGATCGATAGTTTAATAAAGGATAGAAAAGGGGTCCTTTAAGAAAAAAGGTTGGAAACGACTACACTAAAAAGATTTTAATCTTGTAATTATTTAGTCATTTATAATTAGAACTTCTGCAACACCCCAATCTTAAAACTCATCCGCACATACTGTAGAATGAGTGTACATTTACTTTGTATAGAGGCTCTTATTTTCAGGCTTCCAGGGTTTTTATTTTTATTTATATACCTATAAATACATTTCTATTCTATATATTGAGTTAGATATCAAGTACTATTTTTATTTTTTAACGTGTGAGTAAAACAAAAACCACCCCATAAACTCATCAGGAAACTTTACTCCTCTAATGAATCAACTGAGAAGTGACTCATTTCTCCATAAGACTGCATGGTATCAGTTTTTATGCAGCCACTGGAGCTCCCCCTGCTGGTTGGTACATAGAATGCAGGTTTAAGACAGTTCAGACCTGGAAGCTCTGTCTGTTATACACACTGTCAGTGGTGCATCTCATGTTGCTTAATCGCATCCACGTTTCCCTTCAGGGAGAGATGCAAGGAAACGAGAAGAACTGAGACGTCCTTTCCTCTGAAGCGTCGTTCGTTTTCGATGACGGTTCATCACAGCTGGATAAGTCCAGGTTGATACGGGGAAACTGGAGTAGAACAGCAGTCCTCCTGAAATCCTTGATTTTCTATGCAGTTTGTCCTGCCAACTTCAACTACAGTTTACATTTTGCCACAGTTACATTAGTGCATGCTTGGAAATGTATACGACTGACATCATCCACTCAGTAAATTAAAACAATCAGGCTACATACAAACAGAATAAACTGTACACTGCTCTGGCAGTTTATATTTGTAAATTATGTGCATATGCATTTATCGATACGGTGATTGTAAACTCATTCTTATAACCCAGAATATGATTGTG